TTCCACAGTCATCTGGGGTCAGTGTCTAGGTGAGGAATTCATCCAACACACCACCAGCCTCATTGTTCCCGAACATCTCTGTTTCTACCATCTGTATGAACAGCCAAACCCTATACACCATCTGCACCCTAAAAATCTTAAATTCCAATATTCTACTCTGACCACAGAATATTTCTATCCTTTTAAAGTTATCTCCCTTTTAGCTACAAACACTTGTATATTTACTTCATCCAGACTTTTAATCCTTTGAACCAATTATGTTCTCTCAATCTCTCAGCTCCTCCTGACTCTGTTACCATCCGTAACCAGTCTAAACTTTACATTCCATCACTCTGACCATTCTTTCATCAATATTTTCAACTCTTTTGCATTCTTACCATATGCACATAACAAAATCCAAATATTATATCAATCCAACTATTCATCATCTCTGGTTCTAGTGAATTTTGCTGCCAAAAGTCACACAATCATATGTACTGGTATTATTACAAATTAATGATCCTGGCCTATCTGGGAAACCTTCCAAAATCTGCAGTTTGCCCTCTCTTCTATTCCCTAATGGCATCTGACTAGTCTCTTCTTGGATTCTCTCCCTCCTTATCTTCTGGACACTGTCATTAGGCTGTTCCTTCCCTCTTTTTTATTGGGTCATCTTTCTTACAGGGTGGTGTTTCCCAGGGTTTCCCTTCTGTTTTATTCTTGTTCTACAAGCTTGCTCTTAGGCATCATCCATTCTCACACTGTTTTAACTACCTATAAGTTGATAGCATCCTAATCTCTATCTCCAGCCTAGAATTCTCTTTATCTCCAGACCAAAGCAACCAAATGCCCACTGAACAGCACCAACTGTGTGACCCAAACCCATGCCCAAGACTACTGATTTTATTCTCCCCATACATCTGACATTCCTTATGTGATTCCTATCTTGGGAAGTCATAAACCTAAGAGGTATCCTTGACTCCATCACTTCTGCATCCCCTACATCCATCTGGCCACTAACTCAATCACCTGAATATACCTGAAATCCATCCTGTTCTCTCAAGTACCACTGCATTTTCAGAGTTCTGCCCCGTCTAATGGAAATGTTTGCCTTACTCCATTATAATTCATTCCTCACACTGCCTCAAGAAACTGATCTTAACTTTCTTCCACTTAAAATCTATTACTCATGGATCACCATAGCCTCCAGAATAAAGCTCAAAATGGCTAACATTGTGGGAAGAGAGCTATCATCATTTACCCCTTGTTTACTTTTTAAAGTTCAACTCTCTATTCTCTCTCCTAACACATGAAGGGTCTATATTCTGTCTCTAACCTACCTGTTTGTCCTCACTGCTTTCTTGTGCCTGGAATGTCTTATCCTCTAACCTTACCAGCTAATTCCTACTTACTTTCAAACTTCAATTCAGAGGAAAAGTCTTCCATAAGTCTTCTCTGAATCTTCTCGAACCCTGCACACAGTTTTCTTCTATCCCCCACTGTACGCTATGTGAACAACTAAATTATAATCTTTATCTCATTGTATTTTGGCCTTGTTTATGGTGTCCATGTAATACTGTAAGTTCCTTAAAGAAAAGCTAGGGACCTAGCACCAAAGTAGTTGCTGTCTTTGGTGAATGAAGGAATAAATAATAAATGATGAATATAATACCTTTAATAATTATGACTCTTTAAAAATTGCATTTAAATGTTTCAACAATTTAAAAAATTTAATAAAAAGTTTCCTCCATTCCTCCCCATGTGTATGCCCTAATAGCATATACTAAAACTAGGTTTGGTTACATAAACCAACATGTGCAATGATTGTGAAACAGGGTAAAACTTAAGTGTAAATTATGAAAGCAGGTAGGCCAAGTAGAAAGACTTGTCACGAGAGAAGGGAAAGATACACTCTGGAAACCAAAAAACTTCATAATAAAACTACAGTTACAACATTCAAAATTACTATATTACATTTGTTCAACACACTTATCAGTCAAATTAGCAAGAACTCATCTGACCAAGAGGAGCTTAGAAGATACATTCGAAGGTACTAGAAAGAACTGAAATCTTCAGTTTAGGAGCTTCAGTGGAATGCTTCATTGGTCCCCAGGCAAGTGAAAAGATAAAGCTTTAAATAAATAATAGTAATAAACTGACTATCTATGCAAATTGGATTCTCAACTCCCTTTGGCCTAAAGAAATGTTTTCCCATCAAGAACAATGGAAAACTATACAGTAAAGTCAAGGGTTTTGAAACATCTTCAAAATATATAAAACTAAAGTAACTCAGGCTAATTAAATGAAAACCAATACAAACTTCTAAAATCATAAATGAAATTTTATTACTTCCAATATGAGACCATAAGTACTTGGGGGTTATAAAAACTATATTTCAATCCATTGTTTGAAAATAGATGGGCTGTTCCACATCACTTAAAGCTTTGTTGTTTCAAATCATTTACATAGGGGAAATTCGCAAATATTCCTTGTCCTATCAGCTAAGCAAAACATGTTTCTTATTACGTGGAAATAGCAACACAACCTCCATTTAATCTATTACTGTGAATCACAGAATTATATTATACTCATATAACTATACTATACCTTATTATATCATACATCTCTAGATCTATAGATTTCTCATCTGCTAATAGGTACTACCCACTTGATCAAAATTTAAATTATCACCCTGATTTTCTTTTTGTACGTAAGCTAAGTTTATTGTTATATGTCAAGAAATACTGATTAAGATCAAGTTTTGCTATAAACTCAGTAATAATCCTGACACTATTATTTCCTTATATTTCCTCCAAATATAATTATAATTGTATTTCTTATTGTGTTTTTTTTACACTAAAATGCTAATGTCCTCAATTCTTGAATTTTCCCCCACTAACCTTCCAATCTTGATCAGGTTCATTTCTAGAACTGAAAGATGCAGCAGCAAGACAGGTGGATCACTTGAGGCCAGGAGTTCAAGATCAGCCTGGCCAAGATGATGAAACCCTATCTCTACTAAAAATACGAAAATTAGCCAGGCATGGTGGCATGTGCCTGTAATCGCAGCTACTTGGGAGGCTGAAGCAGGAGAATCACTTGAACCCGGGAGGTCGAGGTTGCAGTGAGCAGAGATCGTGCCATTGCACTCCAGCCTTGGTGACAGAGTGACAATTTGTCTCCATAAAAAAAAAAAGTATCAAATGCAAAATTTTTAAGTTATATTTTCTTAAATTTCCTAAACTTCTAATAGTGATATATAAAATTTAATTCAACTAATGATTTGTGGACAATATCCCAAAAGTATTATGAAGCTAACAATACTATGTCTCAGACTAACTGTTTTAAAAATCCTTTTAAACCTGGAAAAAGGCCAAACGATTTACTGGTAAGTATCAGCAGTCAATCAACAAATGAAAAACTCTTGTTACATCTCCATGAAAATTTTGATCTCAAACTATTTATTGGTCTTTTGATTATCAGGCCTCTACTGGAGGCAACAATCAGCTAAAATCCAATAAATTTCAGATTAATGAAATAAATGTTAAAATAGACACAATATTGATAAATACTAGCCAAGCAATCGTAACTACCTAGCACTGATTAAGTAAGCCAATAATCAAGGTAGAGGTTTTAGCTTCCACTAATCTATCAAAGCAAGTCAAAATGCTTTGAAAATTGCATTTTTATGCAATTGTTTCAATACCATATCTTTGTACGTAACATTAAATAGCTCGTGATTACTACATTTCAAAATTTAGATGAGTCACAGTGCTTTCAACACAGGAATTGGATGTGAATCAAAATTGCAAACATGCACTTGCTTGCTAGTCAAAAAGTGAATGTGGATGGATACAATGTTCGTTGACACAGTAAAACATAATATTAAATACATCCTGTGTTTTTAAAATAGTTACTTTCTAACTGCTAACACGGTTCAGGAAACACACCATCTACCCCTCCTCTCCTTGAAAATCTCAAAATTATACTAATCCATTCCCCTTCTTACAGATAGACCACTGAAACCTGGAGTCACTACTGATACAGTTATCAGGATTACCCCTCAGGGCCACCATGGTTTAAGGGATACTAGAACCTGAAAATAACAACAACAACAAAAAACCCATCTCAAATCTAGACAATAAAACTGGCATATAAACTGGAAGAAAACGCAGGAAATGCCAATCTTAGTATCTGGTATGAGGCTGACCATCATTAATCCATCAAAAAAGTTTGGAATGGATGAATGAATGCATGAAATTGGCAGGATGATTTCACTGATTTCAAAAGCTCCAAATTCAGGAACCACACTGAGAGATCAGGACGCCACAACTGAAACTAAAACTGATGAAGGGTAAATGCAACACAACTGCATGTCTCCCCACGTTATCTGCTGCGAAAATTTCAAAATATATATATAGTATTTCTTCAGGTAACTTCCGCAAGTGCGGACAGAGCCAGAGAACTAAGAGGCTGAAAACAGGCCCTGCTCACCCATAAGCCTTTGCATTATAAGTGGACACGATCTGAGTGAGTCACCGGGAATGAGAAAGAGACAGTCACCCCAGGCCAGGCAGGACGCGGCCAGAATCTCCTGCTCTGCCCCCAACTAGAGAACCGGTCGAAGGAGAGAGTGGGACGACTGCAACCTGCTGCAGCTAAGTATGCAAGGATCCCGCCGACCGGCTTCCGAGTCGGGATTCCACTAAGTCCCACCGCAGCCACCAGAGCGAGCCCTGCCCAGGTATCTCGGAGATCCGTAACCTCAGAAGGCCTGGCCCTCCAGGAGCTCAGAGCCCCGGCAGGGCCGGACGAGTGCAAACAGCAGGACCTGCCCTCCGCCGCTACGCGGCCCTGCCGCCACATGCTCCACTGCCCCGTCTCCCAGAGCAGCCCCAGCCCCGCAGGGCCGCAGCCGCAACCCATGCAAGCCGACCGGGCCGCAGGCGGCGCGACCCGGCGGCTCTCTAGCAGGCAGCAGCGGTGGCAGCCGTGGCAGCCCGCCGCCCCGCACGGCTTACCTCCCTTCTGCCACAAGCTCAGCCTAGCGCCGGCTGTCTGACGTGGCCCGCCCCGCCGCCTCGAACGCTCGGAGGCGGGGACTGCAAGAGAAAGCCAATGAGCTGCACACCGCGAGGGCCTGTCCCGCCTCCTCAGGCTGCGGCCCGCCCTCCCCCGCTCGCGCGCAGGCGCGTCCAAGGCCCTGGCCGCGCACTGCGGCTAGAAGGCGGCGTGGGCGGCAGACTGGAGCTCTGCAGCCTAGCGGGCGCGGGGAGGGTTGCGCGCGGGGGCTGGCTGTGGAGCAGCACCGCAGTGAGGAGTTAGCACAAGCTAAAGCAGATTAAAGGAACCTGCCTAGAGACGCCACTGCAGTGTGTCCAGGTAGTCCTGTTGGCAGCCTGCCCCTATGCAGCTTTTGGCGATGCAGAACAGCTTCTTGGTATTTGGAGATTTTGTTTTTCCGGGAGAAACAAATAATACTGCTAAGATTAAAGATTCAGAATATTTAAAGCAGACTGCCGACTGGCAGCGAAGACGTTTCGTTCTTTCCCTAGTAGCTACGGCTTGGTGTCTGTACTTCACTTGGCCAACACAGAACGCTGCAGCTTTCCACGCCACTGTGGTACATCCACTTGTTGGATAGTCCTGAGGGCATCCTAGCCCAAGTGTTTCTGCTGATCTGACCTGGGGAGAATTGGCGCGACTAATTATTGCTGTTGTTAATGCTGCTACGATTTTGCCTAATACTTCCTGAATGATGAACATGTATTTTCTCCGGGGGCGGGGCAGGGGCTCCCACGTGGGAAGGCTGTAACAGACAGACAGCAGCCACAATGAAACGCGCTGAAAAGAGGCAGCAGAAAAAATGAGGAGAGACTGGTATGACGGAGTGGAATTCTCGTTGGGAATGACAGAATGGAAATTATATGCAAGATGAAAGAGTTAAGACAAATTACTCTTAAGAATCTGACTGAGTTGTTTCTAAACCCTGGGGCACCCTTAGAAGCAGGTGGAGAACTTTAAAAAAAAAAAAAAAAAAGTGCATGGGCCTCATCACTAGAGATCTTGGTTGAATAGGCTCTGCTGCAGGGCCTTGACACTGGTATTTTTCTAAGTTTCCAAAGTCATTTTAATGTGTAGACAAGAAGTTCTGTTTCTTGGTTCCCTATCACCTCAGAAAAGTGATTATGTATCACAGATCGTTATCAGTTTTCCCAATGACCGGCTATGCACTCACTCTTTAAGAATTTATCTAAATTAGTTTTGGGGCCAGGTGGACTGGTTCACGCCTGTAATCCCAGCACTTTGGGAGGCCGAGGCTGGAGGAGTTTGGAACCAGCCTAGGTAACATGGTGAAACCTCATCTCTACTAATATATATATATATATATATATATATATATATGCAAAAATTAGCCGGGCGTGGAGTTGCGTGTCTGCAGTCACAGCTACTCTACTCAGGAGGCTAAGGCAGAAGAATCGCTTGAATCCGGGAGACACAGGTTGCAGTGAGCCAATGTGGCGCCACTGCACCCCAGCTTCTGTGATGGAGTGAGACTCTGTCTCAATCAATCAATCAATATTGAACCTACTTAAAGGTATTCAACCTCTGTTATCCTTTGAGTGAAATGAGTTTTATAAGGTTTATAAAAGTCCTTTTTATGGACTTTGATGATGTTCTTCAGTCTTCCAAATGCACCAATATTTCTTTTAGGACCATTTTAATATTTTTTCTTCTATCCTTTATTTCTTGAGACTCATTAGTCAAAATTATAATTAAACACGTAAGTATGTGAACAGCACTGTTCTAAGTATATAAATTCATTTAATCCACATAACAACTTTATGAGACAGTTACAGTTATTACCCACGTTTTACCAGTAAAGAACCTGAGGTACAGTGGGTGAAGCATCTTGACCTATGTCATGCATTTAGCTAATTGCCAGGCCAAAATTTGAATCCAGGCACCCTGGTTCTCAATGAATAAATGTCTGCCTCTGTTGTAAAAGGCCTGGTTTTAGGAACACACAGGGAAATGCCCATTTAAAGAATGGTGTTGAGTCTACTTTTGACACTGTCTCAGTATGTTTAGGTGGCTATAACAAAGTATCTTAGACTGGGTAATTTTTTTTTTTTTTTTTTTTTTTTTTTTTTTTTTTTTTTTTTT